GTACTCTGTTCCATCCATTTCAACGTCACTCATGGCTGGTTTCCCTTCGTCCTTTTCTTCGTCTGTCATTATCCCTTTTTTCATSGTTTCTTTCATTCCTTCATTGCTCATAAAGTTGGAGACGTTGACATCTTTATCGGAATCCTGAACTTTGTTGTATTCTTCCAGAATTTCATGTATTTTTGGGAATTCTTTCTTAATTCGGGACATTTTAATGCTGTTGAGATTGCATATAGTRACCATTGGAAAGTTTACTGTCTAAAAAAGAAATAATCCTGATGTTATTTAACGAGTTTTTCTGGTTGAATTACAAAAAAACAATTTTTTTTAGTATAATTTCATAAGTGAATATCATAATTCTAGCGCGCTGATTGGCTGATTGGCTCGCGGAATCGCCGCTCGGTAAATGTTCATTGATAATCTTTTACTCCGACGAAGGATTAACGTCCGAAACGTCAGTAAGTTATTCCACATACTTTTTTACGGTGTTAAATTTATCTTTTTACATAACTGTTTTGATAATCACTTCGCCTTCGGCGAATAATTGTTAAATATAATCATCCATGCAACCTGCTCGAAGCGAATACACTTTCATACACAAAATGCTGAAACTATATTAGCTTCTTATTACTTGATTCTTTGTTTCGATGGATTTTAGAAATAGGTCTCGCTAGCAGAATACTCATACAAATGTGAGTGCTCAAATGCGCATCAGATGATTTTGAACACAATTGAATATTCGATTGAGTTGAATTTATTGAGCACGATTTTTACCGAAGCGCGTCTATAGACCTCATCATAATATCGATCTTAGATTTTGTGTTTTTAGCTCGTGTCCTTCTCTTCCTCGAAAATAAGTGAATCCGCCATATATAGTCCAAACCTTATTAGATTCAGTTACTTGATATGCCATATCACGCTACAGGACATTTGAAAAAGGTCCAATTAAAGAGATGTTCAAATTGAATAGTTCTACAGCAATATTCACCATTCAAACAAAAGAAAGAAAACTACGTAGGTGTTGCGGCAACAACAAATACTTCGAAACCGAACGATGAACAATATTTAATTTACGATCACGTGATGAAATTAATTTCCAATACCTGCGAATAAGCAACGTCTATCGTAGTTTTTTGTGGTAAACCCACATATGTTATAACAAGGGCAGTACTCTGCCAAATAACGACACCGATGCCAACTCCACATGCTACCACCCACAGTATTCGCCAAAACCAATTATTTGCAATGTGAACTTGACTTATKCCGTGCGCTGTTGTATTCTGGGAGAATTCTTTCAAAACAGCACCTATAGAGRGTTTTGCCTTGGGCTTTCCGTTAGTCATTTCGACTGMAGGCGTCTTGCTGTCTGAAAATAGGATCACAATATGTTTTAATATAAATAATGTCAATGTTATTTAATTATTTTAGTGATTCGAACATATGAATTATTACTTTTCACGGTTGACGTCGTAGAACTTTTGTGGTCACTTGTTAGCAGAATTTATCAAGATTTTAAAGGCCAGATGGACACAATTAAAACCAAGAAAAGTAAATATGCGTACTTATTAATGCTAGGAAAGAAAAAACGGGACATATAGCTGCATCTATCTTCGAGTTTTGAGTTATCTAGATTTCATTTATCGCGCGCTGTGATTGGTCCAAGAAACCCTCGAGGCCCCGGGAAAACATTTTAAAGTCGAGGCGACAGACCAAGGAAAATTTCATTAAAATTCCCTGACAATAAATTCAATAGCATTGMAACTGAAGATGTACATAGCCTTCGCTTAATTGGGTTGCAATATTTTGCATCAAACTGAATAGTGTTTACTAAGAGAATAAAGATATTTGCTTATTATGTTTCGGTTAAAGCAGACCGCGCTATTCTTTTATTCATCTGTTTTGACATTGAGGAGCATTTTTTATTCCCTTCCAGAAGCCGGTTGCTATCTAGATTATCCCCAGTCATAGATTTGGGACTTTTCGAATAACCTTTAACAAAATGTTATCGCAGGTCCGGCTCTATGAATTGAGAATGATCATTAAACAAAACAAAAAAGTTTTTTAACCTTCCATGACAGATTTCAAAACAGTTTTTTTAATTTTCTTAAATTTCAAAAAAATTGCGATACAAAAATGGAAGCGACTAACCGAAACTCTGAAATTTGAAAAAATCTAAATCTAACTTTGTTGTAATGCACAACTAATTTTATGTTGATTTTTGACCATTTTGGTTTCCAAAATGTAGAATTCGACGTCTTATTCGATGCTTTTTCGTATACAGCTGACCCTAGTATTTTACAAAGCTATACCAATGAAAGTTTTGCGGTAAACAGAATTAACGAAGCGTTCACGTATAGAAAAGGGCAGAAATAAATGAAAACTCTTGCTATTTAAAAAAGCTGTTTTTTCCGCTTGTATATAAGATATAATTAAGTGCATTAATTTCCAACGAATGTAAAAAAGCATTTTTAGTTAAGTAGTATTGATTAGTGCAGAAATGACAGAAACTGTTATAAACTCACCGTTCTTTCGTCGTTATTTTCGATAGTGAAGGCTTGATTGTAGTGTATTATACCATACGTAGACAACAAAACATCCGAAATATCTCTGCTTCCCTGTAGTGCTGTTTTCAAACTTATACAATGACTGTTTTGTACAAATTAATTATTCATTACCCGATGTTTTATCTTGTTGTAATTGCGAAATGCGACTTAAGCTGAGAGTATTCCAAATAGCGCGAAAATCCTTTACGAAGATAATTARAAGGGTCCGTTACAATGATTTTGGGATTATTATTTGAGACAGCACTTCATCACCGCCACCTTGATGAATGTAATTTCATTTATATTAATATAAATTGGTGTTTGTTGTGCGAAATGCGTGGGGAAAACGCCATGATAAGCTCTTTTCTTCCGGAATGACATCTCACACTCACGGATAATGAGCTCGTATGTGCGAACTAAAGTAATTACAAGTGAGGAATTAATGTTATATTTGTTACGTCGCCTTGGTAACGCTATTAGTAAACTGTAAATTACTTAGATGAAAGCTAAACGAGACTTCAATTAGTAAATGACTTTAAAAGAAGCTAAAGAGTCTTCGAGTTATATAGAGCAGAACTGTCGTGGAAAATTACTGAGAGATCGCGATAGCACAGAGATTGTAATATAGTTTTTTTTTCTTGCTTTTCTTCTTGTTCTTCTTGTTTTGTAATATAGTTTTTTTTTCTTGCTTTCATTTGATTATTTTTATTTATTGCTTCATTAGTAATTTATCAATTCCTTTCTCCTTAATTATTTTTTATTTAATTATTTGACCCAAATAAAAATAAAACTTATTAAAATCAAATTCAAGTTCAAGTTGAACACCTTGCTGAGCTTTCTAGGTTGCCTTCATAAACTGTTTCGAAAACTACTTCAGTTTTTTTTTCAGACTTTTCTGAAAACTAAAGCAATCCACGTACAAAGTTGATATGAAAGTTCGAATCAMAATYTACAGAAAAYTAAAACWATAATAATAATAACTTTATTAATAAAATTGATTTGCAATCCAGGGGATWTTTGAAAAACTCAATARATATGTTTACATGAATAGTATATGAATAAAAAAAATAGTATACATATGAGAGTCTATAAAATAATGGGGGTGTTCCTAAGTCCCACTTTGAAATTAAACGAAAAAAGAAACTGTTCTTGAACCTATTTGTGCAAAATAGCTATGACGTCATCATGAAGTGTTTCTAAAGGCTACTTGAGGATTTTTTCAGACTTTTCTGAAAACTAAGGCAATCTACGTACAAAGTTGATATGAAATTCTGAATCAAAATCTTTAAAAAACACTGTTTTTTGATGAAGGAGGCWTGTCAGCCTATAGGTAAATCTGAGGCACTGTTTAGGCAGTTCCCACTGCGCCGGAGTACGTGTGGTCAGCTAGGGCAAGCTGAGATGTATTGTTCACGACATAAAGAGAATGTACAGTACAAGGTTTTGAGGATCATTTGCTTTAATCATTAAAACCACAAATAGCTAAAGCTGATTTTGAAAAATTACGTGTTAGTAGCAGATTGGATTGAGCGATTGATCGCTTGTTAGCTTGCATGCTAGCTTGCTTGCTTGACTGGTTGATTGATTGAATACTAGCTAGTTGGTTGGTTGGGTGGCTGGTGGGTGGGTATTTGGGTGGTTAGTGGGTTGGATGGGTGGTTGGTTGGTTGTTGGGTGGGTGTGTTAGTTGGTTGGGTGGTTGTTGGTGTGTTAGATAGTTGGTTTGACTGATTGATTGATTGAATACTAGCTAGTTCGTTGATTGAGTGGTTGGTTGTTGTTTGGTGAGTGGGTGTGTTGGTTGGTTGGTTTGTGGGTTGGGTGGTTGGTTGGTTGTTTGTTGGTTAGTTGAATAGTTTGTTGGTTAGTTGAATAGTTTGTTGGTTGGTTGTTTGTTGGTTAGTTGAATAGTTTGTTGGTTGGTTGTTTGTTGGTTAGTTGAATAGTTTGTTGGTTGGTTGTTTGTTGGTTAGTTGAATAGTTTGTTGGTTGGTTGTTTGTTGGTTAGTTGAATAGTTTGTTGGTT